TTTCCTACATGCGTCTGCAATAGAAATATAAAAAAGATAGAGCTGAGAGGCTCCTGTCCTCTCCAGCTGAACAATTAAGACCAGTTGCAACAGAAGAAAAAGATTCCACAGATTTCTCAACCATTCTCCTGGCAACATGTTCTGATCACTGGCAAAACTGAATAAAGATAATCCAGAAAGATATTTCCACTTAAGTATGCAAGAAAGCAAAACCAGTATTCGTACCACCTCCCTTCTTTATCTGCCATCCAGCTGAATATCTTGCCTCCCAAAGCACCCAAGAAATGGAATAACACAATTCACTGCTATTCTTCTAATGTATGAATCAGTATATGTGCTGTCAGAGGCACTAAAGGGTGTTTCATCTCCAAAGTTTGCTGACATTTGACTCCTACCAAGTAAAGTTAAACACAAATGGAACAAGCTTTGTATCATAAATAACTATGAATTCAAATGGGAATCACTAGTGCTTACCCTGTAACACATCATGCATACTCACGTGCACACATTTAAAATTCTTCTACCGTTTTACACCTAACATGAGCATGTCTTTCAGTGCTAAACTTAGACGTGCAATCACAGTAAGAACCTGGACACCCATGCACATCTGTGCATGCCGGAGAAGCTCACAGCAATTGCTCACAATTTAAGCCTTCCATAATCGTTTTAAATCTTACTCTATTTCCCTCTCTGGGAAAAAGCCTGCAAAGCCAAAACACAAATACTGAGTGACACTGGATCAAAGAAGAGCTGGTATTCCTGATATTCCCACAGCTCTTCATCCATTGCTTAAACTAATCATTCTCCTAAAGGAGAAGAGCTTGTGTAGACTAGAGATAACAAGGGATTCTTCTCAATCTTTAAGACTGGGACCCTAAGCAATGCCTTCTCTTACAGAAAAGAAAGCAGCAACCTCTGCTCTTTGCAGCATGCTTACCCCATTCTTTGAATTAAAAAGTTCTATTTTTACATACTTGTAATCGGAAAATGCCTTCCATACAGCTATTTAACAATCTGTTTGCTGAAGATATCTGCTGGAGCCCCAGAGGTTTTTCATAACACTTTCAGCAAAATTTAAAGATGTGTCAGGTCAGTTTTGTTTTCCACACCTTCCATCAGACAAGCATCATTCAATTTCTACAATGGGCAACCTCTTCTCTGTTCTCTGCATGATCTTTGCACGTTGACTAACCTACACAAGAACTAGGATCACTCCCCTACAGAGACAGGAGATTCCTTCTAGGAAATTGTAACAAGGAAAGAAAAAGCCTCTGGAAGAATACAAAGGTATTTTCCTTTGCAAAGTCCCTTTAGTTACAGAATTATTTTTAAAATTTTCATGCAGCAGTTGAACAAAAAACCACAGCATGGGAAGCGATCACTGTAAGTTACAAGGCCTTTCCTCTGCCACAGGGCACTGCTGTGCTTCTACATAAAAGTATCAAGGGTAAAGTTTGTATTTACTCCTTTGTTCCTGGGGGCTGAGACAGATGTCTATAATGGAAAAAAAAACCCTCAGTAATTAAAAACAAGGCAGACATTCCAGTACATTTCCATTGTGTACAGTCTGGGATAATGTCTCTTTTTGCCTCACATCCTACTGTCTCTCTCAGCTTTCAAAAAAGATCCAGTAACACACTAGGAGCTTGTGTAGCGTGGATGCCATCTCGTGGCATGCAGCCATTCTCCGTGCAGACAGGGCAAGAAACTGGTTCTGTCCCTTAAAACCACTGAAAAACCCATGAGAACAACAATCTGTTACATGCACTTCTCAAAATAAGGTCAGCATTCTAAACAAAACAAAAAAACATACCAGTGCTGGTTACTGCACTGGTTTTGTTAGTATGGGATGGATGAGTTATACATCACCCAGATAATAAATGCTGCTTCTATTTGAGGCCACAGTCTTATCCCCCCAGAACAAAATAACCGGGGGCCAAATGGCTCTGCCTCTGGCCCAGCACACCTGGGGGTGGGGACCTGATTCAGAAAGTGACATTTACAGACAAACAGCTCCTGTTTGTTCTTTACTCACTAGCCTACCAACGTTTGCAGTCCGTTTTGGTCCTGTGATTCTGAGCAACAGCATGTGAGTCGAGTTCTGCTTGCACGAAATGCCAATCCTGGATGCTAGGCTGGATAGCCCTATCTAGTTCTCTCCCTCCTACAGTGTTATTCTTTATATCCTCATGGTTTTCTACCTGTTCAGTATGTGTCTGCTTTGATTTAAGCAAGACTTCTGTATTCAGCTAGAGAGCAGATAACTTCAATAAATGGTGTTCTAAATAATTACAGGTTTTATTCTACCAGTGGGCAGCACATCCTGTACAAAACATGCTGCCACTCCAAAACAGAACTGGCAGATCTCACAGACCACTTAAATGCAAGTTACCAAAGAAATCATCAATTATGTATAATTTTTAAATCTAATTCAGCCAAGAAAGTAAAGTAGAAAACCATACACCATACCTTCGATACAAATTTTCTACAAAAATGTATTTTGCGCTGTGAATTGATCGCTCCATCATTCTTACAGGGGAAATCTACAAAATAAAACTTGACAGTCACTGACTAGTTTGCATTTTTCAGCACATTTGTTTCTTTTCAAGCTCATATTGCACATTATGTCCTTTACATTATGAAATACATACCATTTTCAGTTCTTCCAGACCTTGTGATAAACAAATTTACTGGGAGGGTCGGAACCACAAAAACCAAGCATTCTTAATCTTACTTATGGTCACTGCAATACTGAACACCTACATAACTAATCTGTTATTCATACACAAGTTTCAAAGATAACTGGAGAAGCATTCAACTGAGCAGCTGAAGTTAACTGGGGGAGAGGGGAACAAAAAAGCAGCAATCCACTTCGGATTTGCAGAGCAGCAGGAACTATTGCCACCTGAATTGTTGCCATTTTCAGGTGTGTTACTGGGTCACAGCACAGGCCTAACATCAGAAAAACTATAACAAGAAAACAGAACCTTTTAAAGAAATAATTGCAACTGACAAAGTGCTGGCTTTAGCCAGAGCTTCATTCTGGACTAGAGAAATTCAGTGACGCTCTCTGGCCCCTGCAGAGCAATACAACCCTGGCAGAGCACTTTCCAACCAGGTATTCAGCACATTAATGACCACAGAAGCAACAATAGCTCCAGCAAGGCTCAAACGGCAAATGACAGCAAAGCTCAGATTGAAATGCAGCACGATCCTCAGGAACCTCTGAATGAGCTTTTTCCACAACAGAATGAGATTTCTATGATCTTAGAAAAACACCTCTTCCAAAAAGCTAACGATTAGATGTGCGGTCTCACCATCATATGTGGTACTTCTGGAAGTTTGCCCTGACACAAACTCACAAAACATAATGCAAGAACTATCATTAAGATATAAGCATGCCACCTAAGATCTGATCTTGTGATCTGTGAACGGAAGACGTAGCATAGAAGGTATCAAAAGGTAACAGATCTTGACAAAAAAGGTAGAACATGTGAATAGAGACAGAAAATAAAAAAATTGTAAGAAAAAAAAGGATGGAAAACATCTGAAAAGAAGCAACAGGAAATTTTAGTGGAAGTATTTTGGATAAATACAAGAAGCAATGGCTAAATTTGTGCTTAACAACATGGAGCAGTAGAATGAATACCAACAGTGTCTTTAAGATTACCTAACGTTTGACAAAGGTTTGAAATAGCTACACTTACATAGAGAGCAATTACAGACAAGCCACTGACATGTGACGATGGAGAGATACGTGCAAGTCTAGCTCATAAGGATGGCGCAAAAAAAAGCAGTATTAGTTCTGGGAAGTAAAAGTTCTGAGCAGGTAGGAAGCAGAAGTTTCACCCCTTCCGGAGCATGTGTTGAGCATATCAACAGTGTCTTTGCATTATAAAAATTCACACTCACTGCAGGAACAAAGAAAGACCACAAACAGCAACTTCACTTTTGGATACAAGGTTAAAAATATTTATTACTCATAACCACATCTAACTCTTTTTTAAATTAAAAAAAATATATGTTTTTTTACCATTGGTCTGGTATGCTGCTCCAACATTGTAAGCTGTATGTAAGTCTGTAACGTTATCCCCCATCTCGATGCATCTTGGTACATTAAGCCCTGGGGTTAGAGACAGAAGTGAGACAGACAGACATTGTTGTTAGGTCAAATGGCAAAAAACGTGATGTTGGCTATTTCATAAGCTTTTGCACTACAACAGAATTGGTAAAAGAAGTGCCCTAGAACAGCTGACACCAGGTTTGACAAGAATTAAATAATCATTTGCTCGCCACAATGCAGATGTAAGAATTACAGTCCCGGTCCTCACAGGCACCAAGTAGGGCACTTGGAATGCTCACTGAAGTCAACAGGAATTAGTTATTCTTCATCTGGAACAGTCAGGACCAAACCACAGCTCATTTGAGACAGTTCAAATATGTTCAGGAATTTAAAAAAAGTATCTGCTACTCTATTTTTGTGCACTGGCAGGCTCTCAGTATACCCAGTCCATCCAGAAACATGTATAAGGTTCCAGTAAGTATGGTCTGGGCCCCAGAAAAGGCGTCTTTCAACACAGACGGAGCTGTTCTTCCCAAAGGATCCTCAAAGCATTCTCAGATCTTCCACTTTTTCTGACTGCTGCAATTCCACCCCACGCACACACACTTCCAAGCAACAGTCTATCCTGCAAGGCAGAGAAAAGGTCTGACTTGAAGTAAGACCTCATTCCGTGTGTATTTGCTTAAGTAACACGCTTTAAGTCAGCAGCATGGCTTCAGTCCACAGATCTGACCTCCTCCTTTCCTCCCTGCCCAAGATCAGAATGGGAAAGTATTCTGACGTGCAGATTGCTGTGATGGTGTGTGACACAGCCAAGCATGCCCTATCCCTTTACTGCATCAACAGCTCCTAATAGGGAGAATTTACTTTTCCAGAGAACATATATTCACAGTAATGGCATCAAATACATGTCTGGGCACGTGTGGTTTGGGGTGTATCCACACTGCTGTGCTGACAGCAAATTCCACATGAGCTTGAGCATAGATACCCATCTCAGCCAGCAATGAGGTTTCTGCAGTGCATGTGATCGTACCAGCAAGTCTGACATCAGAAACCACTTCAATCCTCCCAGCAAAAGTGTATCTGCAGAGGTAGTCAAAGCCCCGACTGCTGTCCCCAAGCATAGCTGTGACAAAGGGACATACTTGTGTCCCAAGCAACAATGACTACGCAAAAGACAACAGAAGCTCTCAACACCTCACAGGACTGAATTGTCCTTATCTTCAGCAGTCAAAAAATATTAACTGATCAAATCCACCCCTCACTTTCAGAGGGAATTTAACAGCAAAGACATTCTTCCCTTCTTTGAAATAGGCATAAATAGATTTAGAAACAACTGCCACACTCAAGGCTTACCTTTCTTTGAATATCTTTAGCTCATACCCAATAAAAGACCCAGTCCTTGCCAAACCCACATTTTATGTGCAGTGTTTCTATTATATGCGTGTCTTAATCACTTAATCACAGTAAAAGATCTTTTGCGTCACGGAGCTTTATTTTTTTGCCATATGAGATTATGACCACACCTTTGTAACAGTTTTGCTGATTGGTATGAAGTCCTCATGCATGTCTTTCTAAAAGAACAGTAATTGTAATTGTCAAATTAATTTCTGCCACTTACCAGGATATTATGACCACGAACATTCCTCCACTTAGTCACTGGCTCTGTCAAAACCTTGATAAAAAGAATTACTCCATGTTAAGCATGTTTTAGATTCGAAATACTTAATCTGACCCTACAAGTCTACAACTTTTTTTAATGAATACTCATTCAGTAAGTCAGGACTTGTATGGGGAAGCCCATCCCTCTTCAAAAAACAACACTGGATCTTGTAAGATAAAAGGTAATAATGACCGCTGTTGGAGAAATATCATTATACAACATCTTTTTAGCACTTTTAAACCACCAAAATAAAACACAGGATTGATCACCTAACAAGCCTGGATGTAACTATACTTAATTTTGAGTCAAAATCAGTACCATGTGAAGGAAAGAATGGCTTAGCTGAGTACTGACTGCATTTCAATGACCTGCTCATTCCCTCGCAAATTAATTTCTCAGAGAGCAACGCTTGTCAGCAAAGGAAGAGACGATCAGAATGCTATTGTACTACTTTTTTTTTTTGTTTGTTTGTTATCTAACAAACCAAATATATTCAAAACTTGTACAAAATTACCCCACATAGGTAGTCTCCAAGGATACTTATCTGGTTCAAACAAGGTCTAAAACTCCAGCAATGCTGTAGAGCCAGGTC